GTTAAAGATCAACTTTTGTTATTCAAATTCTCTGCACATGTGAAAATATAAAACCAGTCTTGATTTAGAAAGACACATTCCTGTAAAACAGCCACATTAAATGTTTTTGATAAGTAGTACAAATGTCTGGAATTTTTTTTATGGCTGTGTTTTTAGACGCGCATTAAGAATCTGTAGATGCATGGGGATCTATTATTATGTTCAAAGGGATTAGGAGGTAGTATTTTAAATTAATTCAACTCTTATTTAAGTAATCGGCTTTACGAGTTCAAATATAAAAATTCCGTATCTAAACAATTAAAAACTAAACATGGTGTCCTTCAGGGAACTGTACTTGGTCCTTTTCTTTTCGACTTAAACATCGATGATATAATTCAACATGAAAGGGTTTGTAAATTGCATATTTTTGCAGATGATATATGACAGATGCTAATTTAGATTATATGTTTCAGAGTATTAATGATGATCTTTAATTAATTTATTCTTGGCTCTGTAATATTAATTTATGTTTAATTTTTAGTAAATCCAAAAATTTGTTGATAATTAAAAATGTAGTATTTCAAAACTTGGAAATGTTTTACATAATGTTAAAATAGATACTGTTTTAATTTAAAAAGTTTATGAAATTAAATATCATGTAGATAAACCAAGTTTTAAAAGTCATTCTTTGCTACATACATACATAACGTTTGGCCCGTGTGGTGTATACTATTTTTCTTCATACATCGGTCGAAAATAACTCCCTGTGCTATTAGGGACGAAAGTACGTACTTTCGACCGAGGTAAACTTTCTTCCCTGCTATTGGGGACGAAAGTAAGTACTTTTGACCGATGTATGAAGAAAAATAGTATACACCACACGGGCCAAACGTTGAAATCTCGGTCCTGCGCATCATCATGACGCACAGGGCCGAAAATTCAACTTTCGGCCCTTGTAGCGTAATATACTATTTGACTGTGTATTAATATTATTATATTATCCATTAATTTATACGGTAAATCAAGATTTAATATTTTGACCTAAATATGGCCCCAGGAAGGTGTAGCCATAAAATCTTATATATTCGTCTAATTTATTAGAAAATTGAAAGCAACTTTTAATACCCTAAAGTGCAAAATGCAATTTAACTAATATTGCACCGGATTAAAATCAAATTTGGCCATATATAAGGCTTAATTGTATAAGATTTTGTTGTCGAAGTTGTTTTTTAGTTAATAAATTTTAAACTTTCGACGTACACATAATAGGTTTAAAAGCTCATATGGATTTTTGATTAACAATGTAAAGTAACTTAACGGTTTACGAAGAAATAAATAATGAGGCAATACGGTATGGGTATCGCATTAAAATTAATAGTCTATAAAGGTTAAAATCAAGGTTAACATTTAACATGATAGGGGATACATTGGATAAAATAAAATTACTCAGCTCTATTAATATAATTATATTAAAAAAAAAACTTAATCAAACGTCCTTTGTAACTGACATACAATTCAAGCGTACATAAAAAGAACTAACTTATAAAAATAGGAATGGAAAACTTTTTTGCTTTAGCACAAAGGATAGCAAGGAGCAATCAAAATAAATATCTCTTATCACTTGAAGGATTTGTTATGGCCGAACTTAATTCAGTCCCGTCGAACTACACGAAAAACTTTTGCTGTTATTAAATAAGTTTTTGCCCAAGTCGAGTTTCTTAATTTTACTGTATCTCTTCAACTAATGTTCTCTTTAACGAACCCATACTCGTCCAAATGAGGCTTATAAAGGACGTTTATCTTAAAAGGCCAACTTTTGTTTTGCTTAAAATGAAGCAAAAATTACACTAAAAATCATATAAGTTTGTAGTTTGTTAATTTTATGTTATGTTGTGTAAGGTCTTGGCAGTATACGATAAATAAAAAAAATACTAGATCTTAGAAAATATATTTATTTACAATATGTACACTTTTTATCTAATATTTCTTATGGTCCATAAATGAATCCTCTCATGACTCAAGCAGTGATTCCTTAAATGATCCTTCCTTGAAAATCTTTTACCACAAGTGGTGCAAGTATAAGGATTGGTCTTCTTAGTATGCACAAACATATGTCTTTTTAAGTCAGCATTAAAATTATACTGCTTAGGGCAAATGCTGCATTTATATGGTTTATCGCCGATATGCTTCTTCGTATGAGCATTAAGGATATCCTGCGATGGGAACTTCTTTCCGCATTTCGTGCACTTGAACTGTCTTCGGTCGTTGTGGTGAGCATTGGTGTGTTGGATTAGGGAGCAGGCTTTTGTGAATACTCGGTCACAAAATGTGCAGTTGTGCTTTGGTTTTTCTTCTTGGGCTTCCGTGGTGGTACGTAGTTGCTTTGGTACAAGTGATTCCTCGGGTTCATTAGCGACTTGATTGTATTGAAACTTCTTTCCAAGTAACTCTGTATTGTTTGGAGGAAATTGGTTCTGTTGGGCTTCGGTGGTGGTACGTAGTTGCTTTGGTACAAGTGATTCCTTGGGATCATTAGCGACTTGATTGTATTGAAAGGTCTTTTCAAGTAACTTTGTATTGTTGGGAGGATATTGGTTCTGCTGGTATGGTGGAAGGTAATGCGGAAAGTAATGCATATTGGAAAGGTACGCATTATAATATTGGTTTCCTGTAAAATAGAAAGGCTCGTATTGTTGGTTCTTCGGGGTTTCATTGTTGAAATCGCTTTCGGTTCTCAAAGCTGCCGGTAAGGTGGTTTTAGTAGGTAAATCGTAAACATCTGCTTCAATCTTTGGCAAAATAGAATGGCTCTTCGTTGTGACATCTTGCTTTTGGTTATTGTAGTACTGATTACTACCAAGTGGTAACTGCTTCTTTTCATCTTAGTTTGTGTAAAAGTTATAATTACCATAATTTGTCCAATAATTAGGAACGTATTGTTCTGTATTTTGTTGTTTCGACATGTTTTGTAAAGCGTTCGATTCATCGGATTGATAGTAAGGGTATGCCATTTTGATAATGTTAATGGATGCTTGATCAAGTTGATTTGACTTTTATTTCAATAAAGTTAGTTTTTATATGCAGAGGCAAAACATGTAGGTATAAAAGTTATACCAGACGAAGAGTAATAATGTTTACCCGTTTATTTTAATCTAGGGGATTATCAAAATTGAATTATTGTTAGATACAACTTAAATAAAAAAAATTAAACTGACGTGGGTTTTTTTATAAAATGTAAACCATTCAAATTTAGATTATACACAGTAAAAAAATATTTGTTAATTTTAACCAAATAATAACCAGATTTTATGTTAATCCAGGTCCACATAACTTTTTGTTAAGTTTAAAACCAACTGTAATCTGTTAATTAATTGAATAAGTAGTTTGTAATTATTACAGTTATTTTGTAGATTTAATAACAAAATTCCATGTCAATTTTAACCATAATTCTTGTATTTGTTGTAAATTGGAAACTTTAAAAAAGAGAATTTGTTATAAGAAATGTTGCTTTATTAAACAATTTTCTAAATAAAACATAATTAACACATACCTACATAAATGAACACAAAAATAACATACACAAAATTAAATAACACACCGTTCTGAAATCATCAGATTATATAGAAATTTGGTACAATATAACTATCAGTACTACTAAAACACTGCTTGAGGCGAAAATTGGAGCGTAGGCTTGCTCTAATTGGTGGTTTTATATCACATGACTAAAGTGGTGGATGGCAGTTTGTGTTGCAGAGTTGTACAGCGGGTGTTTTGATTCTGATTAAATTATTTAAAACTGTTGTCTAATCTTTTTTAGTTTTTGTCTCGATTAGTAAACTTCATTATTTTATTATTGTGGTGCACTGGGGTACATACACGCTACAATAGTAGAATGAGCAGTTTTTAATAAGCAACAAGTCTTATTAAGTTTTAATTAGGGTTAGGTTTTCAAAATACCCGTAAGTTTTCTGTTTTTTTAAATGAAAGAATTTCGTTTTGACTTCAAATTTAACTTTGAACTTTTGATGGAGTGAATTTAGCCAAAAACGATAAAAGACTTTTTTTGTAGAGCATTTGATTTCCCATAAGAATATTTATCGTTTTTTTTCAGGGCACTGATTTTTACTTGAATTACAAACTTCCAAAGTTAAAATCAAATTGTAAAACTATACCAATTTTTAAGGCATGATTGTAAGAAAAGGGTTCATCTGACGGGAAATTCCAATCAAACCTGTTTTGTAGAGCATTCAATTTTCTTCAAAAAATATTCTTAAGTCAATTTTGTTAAACTCAATGATTTGGAAGTTCTGAGACAAAAACTTGCTCAGGAAAAAAAAATCTAAAATTGCGATGATAGACCTCTTAATATTAATATTATGGACTCAAACTTTCTCCATAATTTTTTTTGTCACCCCCAAACAATATTTTCGATAAATAAAAAATAGATTTTTTTGGCCCAGTATACTACCCATGCTTAGACCTTCAAACTAAAACTTGTATACAACGGATCCAAAACACCTGTGTCATATTTATCTATAATCTCAGAAAATATGACCATGTCATGTTAAATAATAATAATGATAATAATAATAATTAAACCTGTAAAGTTTCATTTTTAACTTTTGTACCCTTTCATATTTAAGAGAAAATATAATTTTCATACATAATATTTACAATCGCCTAACACGACATCTAAACCTACCTAGCTTACCTAAACACTACCGCTTTATTTACCCGTTCTTTTTTCAATGCAATAATTTATTATAACTCAATTGACAAGTCTATATCTCTATATAAATTTAGAAAACATTCAAGTGCTTCTTTACTTACTTAATCTTTTTTTGTTCTTCTTAATTGTTTTATTATTTTGTTATATAGAATTAGGTGTAATATTTTTAACTTTTATTAATTTTACTTTCAATAAAGACGAATATTATTATTAATATTATTATATTTTATAAAGTAGTACAGTAGTTTTATTAATTATATTTACAATATACACAGAAAGGTTTCAATAACCTTTACACAATCAAATCCTTTAAGAGAGCCTTCCTCTCATGAATCAAGCAGTGATTCTTGAAATGATCGTTCCTCGAAAATCCCTTACCACAAATCGTGCAAATATAAGGGTTGTTGCTCTTATCATGCATGAACATGTGTCTCTTCAAGTCGGCCCTAAAATTGTACTGCTTCGGGCAAATGCTGCATTTGTATGGTTTATCGCGTATATGTTTCTCCGTATGAGCGTCAAGGATTTCCTGCGATACAAACTTCTTTCCGCACTTTGTGCACTTGAACCGCCTTTGCTCGTTGTGCTGAGCGTTGGTATGTTGATTTAAATAGCATACTTTCGTGAATATCCGGTCACAAAACCGGCAACTGAACTTTGTTTTTTTCTTTTGTGGTTCAGCGGTGGCATGATCTACGTAAGACGGTTCATGGGTGACTTGATGCTTACCAAGTAACTCCGTATCGTTGGGTAAATGCTGGAATTGTTCTTGTGGTTGAAAGTAATGCATATTGGGTAAGTACGCGTCATAAAATTGGTTTCCTGTAAAATAGAACGGCTCGTGGATGGTAAGATTCATTGGGGTGACATTGCTGAAATCGCTTTCGGTTCCTGAGGCTTGCGGTAGGGATATAGCTGGGAAATCAAATGGATCCTCTGGATTCTCGGTCAAAATGGGAGGGCTGTTCGTTGTGACATCTTGCTTGCGTTGGTTGTGGAACTGATTACTACCAAGTGGTAACTGCTCCTTATCATCATAGACCAAGTTCGTGAAGAAGTCGTAGTCTAACAAATCACCATTATCTGTCCAGGGTTCAGAGGAATTAGGAACATATTGTTCTATATTGTTGATAACTTCGTCGGATTGAAAGCAAGGGTATGCCATTTTTAGAATGCTCTTATCACTGGTTAAAGTCAGTTTGATTTTGAATTTGACAAAGGTAGTTTTTATATACAAAATTAGATTTACATAGGTAAGAAATGGACTATATTTTCAGGTAACTTGTTTTAACAAGGGTAATCTAAATTAGTTTGTTTGTGTTAATTAGGGATTATAATTTCAGCTTTTGAAAACATTTTATGGAAATCCCTTTATGTTTTTAAATTATATTTTATAAAATATTTTATTTAATATTTATATAATTTATGCTTGATTTTAAATGACTTTGCAAAATGAAGTTGAAGAAGCATAAAATAAACCTAACCAAGTAAAATCCTCGGAACCTTTCAAGACGCTTTAAATTTAAAATTAAAGCATCTTATAGTTTCTTATACCTTGGTTATTTACTGACATAACTTTACATACGACGCAGTCAAAGACGATCCTTTAAAATGCCACGAATACAGTTTTGTGTCTAGTAGATACCTTTGAGAACAGACAACATAATCCTGGCTGCATTGCTGAATTCCATCTACTTAATTATGTTTAAGTAGAACTTAATGCTTTTGATTCTGCATTCTACCCACATTACGGTGGATGTAATCTGAATTTGTGTGGCAAAATAAAACAATAATTACTATAAGCCTGTACATGGTGTAGAGGCTTATAGTAATTATCGTTTTAGTGTTGACTACACTGCGTGACACGAAAAGGTTTGGGATTCATTTATGGAATGTGACACCTCATAAATGCAGAATTCGTCCAAAGCAGTACAATTTTGTGGTTGAATAAAGGCATATGCATGAGCATAAAAAGAAAGCCAATCCAATGATACTTGTATGAGTTCTGGTAAGGAATATTTAAATTTTAAAAATCACTGCCTTGAAGAAAGAATCCTTTTGTGAATTACTCAAATGTTTCTGTATATAAGTTGAACTTTTTATTTGAAAATCATTAGTTTAACTTATCAGCTTGCAAAGAAATGATTTTAATAATACTCCAATAAAAGAAGGTAATCAAGTGTATTTTCAATTAAATTAATATTGGAGAGATAGCTTTTATATTACAATTACCTTAAACGTAATCAAAGAAATTCTGTTTTAACAAGGAACATTTAAAGAAATAAATTATAGCCATGGGCAAGTAAGAGTTTTTATGAGGTGATAAGGGACTATTTGAATTAAGCTTGTTTTAAAAATACGCAATAACGTGGTATAATGAAATATATTTATCGGTGCTCCTATAATGACATTCAAAAAGGTGTGTAAACAGGACTGGTGTTAAACGTAATATTGGAAAGTTTTACTTTAAAAATAGTTAACAAATTTTAGATTGTTAAGACTTAAATAGTTAAAGTTAAAAATCAACTTTTGTGATTCAAATTCTGGGCACATGTAAAAATATAAAACCAGTTTTGATTTAGAAAGACACATTCTTGTAAAACAGCCACATTAAATGTTTTTGATAAGTGGTACAAATGTCTGTAATTTTTTTATGGCTGTGTTTTTAGACGCGCATTATGAATCTCTATTATTGTGTTCATTGGGATTAGGAGGTAGTGTTTTAAATTGATTCAACTCTTATTTAAGTAATCGGCTTTACGAGTTCAAATATAAAAATTCCGTATCTAAACAATTAAAAACTAAACATGGTGTCCTTCAGGGAACTGGTCCTATTCTTTTCGACTTAAACATCAATGATATAATTCAACATGAAAGGGTTTGTAAATTGCATATTTTTGCAGATTATACAATTATAATATATATGTTATATAAGAAAGGTGATAATTTAGATTATATGTTTCAGTTTATTAATGATGATCTTTAATTAATGTATTCTTGGCTCTGTAATATTAATAATTATTTATGTTTAATTTTTAGTAAATCCAAAAATTGGTTGATAATTAAAAATATAGTATTTCAAAACTTGAGAATGTTAAAATAGACAATGTTTGAATTGAAAAAAATTATGAAATTAAATATCTTGTAGAGAACATATACGATAAACCAAGTTTCAAAAGTCATTCTTTGCTACATATTAATATATGTTAATACTTGGTTAAAATTAACAAATATTTTTTTATTGCGTATTAATATTATTATATTTTGTATTAATTTTTACGGTAAATCAAGATTTAATATTTTGACCTAAATATGGCCCCAGAAAGGTGTGGCCATAAAATCTTAAGGATCAATGATGGCAAACCATGTAAGTTATTGTTATTATTTCTTATATCTTTGTCTAATTTATTAGAAAATTGAAAGCCACTTTTAATACCCTTAAGTGCAAAATGCAATTTAACTAATAATGCACCGGATTAAAATCAAATTTAGCCATAAATAAGGCTTAATTGTATAAGATTTTGTTGTCGAAGTTGTTTTTTAGTTAATAAATTTTAAACTTTCGACGTACACATAATAGGTTTAAAAGCTCATATGGATTTTTGATTAACAATGTAAAGTAACTTAACGGTTTACGAAGAAATAAATAATGAGGCAATACGGTATGGGTATCGCATTAAAATTAATAGTCTATAAAGGTTAAAATCAAGAGGTTAACATTTAACATGATAGGGGATACATTGGATATAATAAAATTACTCAGCTCTATTAATATAATTATATTAAAAAAACCTTTAATCAAACGTCCCTTGTAACTGACATACCATTCAAGCGTACATAAAAAGAACTAACTTATAAAAATAGGAATGGAAAACTTTTTTGCTTTAGCACAAAGGATAGCAAGGAGCAATCAAAATAAATATCTCTTATCACTTGAAGAATTTGTTATGGCCGAACTTAATTCAGTCCCGTCGAACTACACGAAAAACTTTTGCTGTTATTAAATAAGTTTTTGCCCAAGTCGAGTTTCTTAATGTTACTTCATCTCTTCAACTAATGTTCTCTTTAAGGAACCCATACTCGTCCAAATGAGGCTTATAAAGGGCGTTTATCTTAAAAATTGAGTCCAACATTTGTTTCGGTTAAAATAAAGCATAAATTACACTAAAAATCATATAACATGAGTTCGTAGTTTGTTAATTTTATGTTATGTTGTGTAAGGTCTTTGTAGTATCCGATAAATAAAAAAAATACTAGATCTTAGAAAATATATTTATATTATTATTTACAATATGTACACTAATATTTCTTATGGTGCTTTTACAATAAATATTTTTGTACCTTATTCAAGTGATTTCCCCTAAATAGCTAATTTTGTGAACGTTAAAAAAGTTGGAATAATACGTGCTGCTTTTCTTATCATTGTATTTTCGAGATCGTGGTTTTTCGTTGTTATGCAGCTAATTTAAAGTTTTTTTAGTTTGTGAAAGTGCATAATGGATTTAGAAAAAGAATTTAAAGCAGTGGAGAAACAATGTTTTGCGAATTGTGATGAAGATTACGAAGATCAAGGTGGAGGTGCAGGTGTTAGTGACATAGAAGATGACGTTGTACCAGATTCGTCTTTCGATATGTCTCTTCAGGATATTGACGAAAATAAAAGATCAAAAAAAGCAATTCTTAATCTATTTATAACTTTTTTCGCGATTTTTATAATTCATGTTGAACTTTAAGGATGATTTCCAGCAAAAGTTTCAAACTTAGGAGTCTGCGGTATGTTCCATTAAAAAATACATTAAATTTTTTATAAATTTCGATCAAAAAACAAAAATTGATTCTTACGACCATAGGTACCTTTCTATAGCCCAGGTCAAATATAATATGAATTATGCTATATGTATTTATTTTTGTTTTTATGGTCTGTTATTAAAGCTGCAAAGTATAAATTCCATTTTTTATTTTTTTCCTATTTGCCTGAATATCAATATCAATTTTGACACCTTCCACAGTGTATAGAAAAAGCTTGAGAAAGTTCTGGAAAACCTGGAAAAGTCAGGGAATTTTATACGAATTCAATAGTATGAACCCATATAGTATATACTCGTCCAAAGGAGGCTTATCTTAAAAATTGAGTCCAACATTTGTTTCGGTTAAAATAAAGCATAAATTACACTAAAAATCATAAAACATTAGTTCGTAGTTAGTGTTAATTTTTTTAATATCTTAGAAAATATATTTATATTATTATTTACAATATGTACATTTTTTATCTAATATTTCTTATGGTCCATAAATGAATATCTTTAAGGCAGCTTTCCTCTCATGACTCAAGCAGTGATTCCTTAAATGATCCTTCCTTGAAAATCTTTTGCTACAAGTGGTGCAAGTATAAGGATTGGTCTTCTTAGTATGCACAAACATATGTCTTTTTAAGTCAGCATTAAAATTATACTGCTTTGGGCAAATTGTGCATTTATATGGTTTATCGCCGATGTGCTTCTTCGTATGAGCATTAAGGATTTCCTGCGATGGAAACTTCTTTCCGCATTTCGTGCACTTGAACTGTCTTCGGTCGTTGTGGTGAGCATTGGTGTGTTGTATTAGGTAGCAGGCTTTTGTGAATACTCGGTCACAAAATGTGCAGTTGTGCTTTGGTTTTTCTTCTTGGGCTTCCGTGATGGTACGTAGTTGCTTTGGTACAAGTGATTCCTCGGGTTCATTAGCGACTTGATTGTATTGAAACTTCTTTCCAAATAACTCTGTATTGTTTGGAGGAAATTGGTTCTGTTG